TTTTTTTCAGAATTGGGCAATAAAATATAAAAAGGCAGTCGCTGGCGCGGCGCCAACACGCTGTTAATAAATAATGGAAACTGACACTTGAAATTGAGTTTTACATTTAATTTAATTCCGTGCGTAATTGAAATCCAGCCAGTCCAAAATATTATATACAACTTTCTATTTATCACAATTTATAACAATTTCAAACTGGCTTCATCACTAAAGTTCATACATAAAATGTTAATATCATTAACAACATTTGAAATCCTTATTAAAGTACGTCAAATCCCGAGGTGTATTAAGCGAGCGTTCTCTAAGCGTAACTTAAATTCAATTAGTAGCAAGTTTCAGCAGAGGGCGTCCTGAACGCCTTCACAAGCCGCACACCGCAACATAAACAATGAATATTTCATGGTGCGCACAACTCGGCTATAACTCGATTAGCGAGGCTGTATCTTTTGCTTTATTCGTTACAATAAGCCTGTTACGTTGCTCGCTGACGTCTGACAGTAATTAATTACGACTATATACCATTGTAAATATTATATAACTGTTACATGAAATACTATTTATAAAGAAAATAAGCATTTGTATTTCAATGACTGGTTAAATTATTGTAAAACGTAATGATTTATACGAACTATTTAATTATGTACTTCATTAAAATGTATTATGTAAATTAGCACATACAATTTGGCAAATGTCATGATGCATCAAGCATTAAATCAAATTTTATTCGACATAAATCATTTCAGCAATTGCCACCGTATGTATTTTATGCTAGACAATACAAATAATATGTGTAAAATAACGTAAACTTATTTTGTACATCAAGTATTTTGTATGTGTTTTAATAGAATTCGTAGCATTCAATGAGCGTAGCGCTCTACGCATGTTTAAGTCGTAGCAATGTCGCCTGTTCAGAGTTAACACATTTTTTTATTACTTTCCTTACAAAAAAAATAGTTTCTTTTAGTTAGATTAATCACAATAAACCTAATTTGTTAAATATATTTTTTCATGTTATGCGATAAAATGTTATAAAAACGAACACGTCCCGTACGCTCACAAGACACAAAGTCAATTAGCACTGACAACCCCCCCCCCTCCTACATCCCCCATCCAACTCACAAATGAATGTTAACTTTATTTTAACTCTATTTACTTTTTAAATAAAGGGACTTTATCCTTCGGATTGAGTTGACATAACATGAACGGATATAAACATTTTTATAAATAAAACTAGGTACTATAAGTAACAAGTACGTAGGAAGTTAAACTGTTTGACGATGAAGATGATGCCTATTTGGTATCTACTTTCTTTATTAAGATTTTGATGCAGTTAGTTTACATTTGGATTTATAAAAAGCCAGGTGCCAATAACGCAACATGTTGTGACACAAATGTTGATGCAACCATATAAGTACTAATCCGCCGCCTGGCCTTTAATCCCGTGTAATCTTGCGATAAATTATTTAAATTCCTCTAAAAGCTAACTCTACATCAGAACAATATGTTTGTACATATGTTACCATCTTAGCTAACCTCTTCAGGCACTCTAAAAACCACAATAATTATTAAATTGATAAACAGTGTGCAGTTTAATTTTAGAACGTGGGAAAGCACATTCGCGATATGACGCAACAAATGGGGCGATTGAATAATTCCATTAATTTAAATAACAATTTATTCCATTAACATTTCGACTTTTATATGTTTGATTTAACAGTAAACTATCATTAAATTAAAGCTTAGTATGTTAATATATAATAAGCCAGTAGGTATGCTACATAGGCTGTGAGTGGAGGCATCGATTGGTGCAGAAGCACAACGCGGCGCGGCGGCGGCAGTGCGGCGCGCCGGTGCTGCACAAGCTTCGGGAACCATTAAGACGTCCACTTGACCCGCGCACACTACTTAATCTTTTGCCAAATCTAGGTCACACTTAGGTGGTCTAGAAAGCTACGTTGAAATGTGCAAGCGTAATATTTTTAGCTTATTTTAATGAAACTAGTATTAAAAATATTATAACACATTCGTGATATAACCTAACACAATATCGATTTACAATTATTAATTATTTAATTATAATTATAATTAATTAATTACTAATGTGCATTTGATTGAAAAGGTAAAGACGTAAAAATGTAATAAAATTACTCAAAGACAAAACTGAATACTTTACAAGCTAACTGGTTTAAGTAACCTCACATAAAAATTCGTATCGCTTTTCCTTATAACATTTTGATTTTTATTTTTACCAACCAATAATTGGGAAGTATATATAATAAAACCGGTTTTGAAATACATTGAACTTTACTTCAAAAATATTGTAATCAAAGATGACGATCATAAGGTTCATTCAGATGTCGCCGCGAAATCCTAAATGTACAAATCCAATATGACAGAAAACCTTGGCCAGGTTTAACGATTAGATATGTAAGTCAAAACAACGAAAGAGACAATTCAATTTGTCTGAACAACGTGTTACTATATTACTGTTTTGTCTTTTTACAAAATAACATGTTTTTATCTACCTAGTAGTAATTTTGTGAATTGGCTAAATAGTTTCGGTATTACCATAAAATAAATCGATGTTTAGTACAAAGACTTAAGGTGCATATTATAATTTCCAATTCCAGTAGAAAGACGTAGTTATTTAACTACTGAAGATAACGATAACAATACATAATATATGTAGAAGTATTATTTAAGAATTAGTTGCGCAGTTACAGATGGTGAAGTTTGGCTTGGAGCGTGTGACGTCATAGATAAACTACATTGAGACACAAGTGGCCAGCACCTGCACAACTTGTATTAAACTTCTGTTATTATTCATAGACAGATGAGTACAGAATCACGTCTTTTGTAACACGAATACCGTTTATTTCTCTGTTTATTCAGTGGAATAAAAAGATATCGAAACGATGATATGCGTTTATAAATTACGTAAAGACGTATACCCGAATAATTTAAATAAACAAAACAATTGCAGCGTTCAGTTATTATCAGCTTCTGCGCAGAAGAGGCGCAAACAAACATCACCAGCTGTCAGTCACGATACAGTCAACAACAGGCGTCAGCGTCATTTCTCTTTTGTGACTTTGACTCGGCGGAACATCGACCCGCTCTCATTGTAAATCTTTACGTTATCTTAAATATTTACTTTCGTACAAGTAAATATTGAAAGTTCTTCGCTTTCAGTTGAGATTCAAAACTATGTCTTTAGTTTTAAACCGTTATTCGCAAAATTCTATTTCATAGGCCATTAATTTTGGCCAGAAAATTACGAAAACGAAGTTTATAAGCTTTGGAAACTTTTATGCATCTGGAAACGTCCACAAAGTGTACACTCGTAAATGCAGCCACCCTCATAATAAATATTAACAAGTTCATTTATTTTACAAGTCAAAAGCTATGAAACCGGTACGCGCCGATACGTATAGACGTACAACAGTAGGCAGACGACTTTTTATCACGCCCTCGCAACTTGCCTACAAATATTTGCCAGACATGTGAAGTTTGCAAGTTGACTTACTATTATTATGTCAAAAACTTTTTGCAATAAACCCTTTGTTTAAAATATTGCGCAATCACGTTGTTTAGCCTTTAAAAACTAAAATTGTCAATAGATTATTTTTAAGCTTTTTTGACTTAATAAAGAAGTTTGACTAACTTCACATAATCTTTATGGGAAAGGAGAGGTGTAAGAAATTGATGAGATCAGGGTTATGTGACTAATTTATCAAGTTGCACCAATACATGTTTTATTCACAGTTTTAGTAACTTCCCGGACTGATTCATGGGTTACTTTGATGCAAGCTTATCTTCATTACAATAAATGAATTTAACATAATTTCCTTTAATAGTTTACCTAATGTTATCAATTTTTAATTAATGAATGGTCCAACGTGTCCAATTTAATGGAGAAGACAGAATTTGTTAATAATTTATTACTATCACCACATTTTATATTTTAAGTTGTTCTAAAATTTTTTAAGACTTAAATTTAAACAGTCAAAAAATATTCATCATTTAGTTATCAAGCAACATCATAGCATTACTTTGTTTTTATTAAAATTACACTATCAAGGATGACAAGACAGAAACTTTAAATTAAATGGTATGTATTAATGGCATATGAACATACAGTTGTGAGCCATCAATAATAGAAATAATGTCAGATTAGAGGATGAGAGCATTTTTTTTACTTTACTTGTATTATAATACTAAGGAATTTTTACACCGCTGTTTTAAAAATATGTTTAACATGATCCTAATCCTTATGGGCTTTTTCATTTATTTTCAAGATTATTGTATTTAAATAAGTAGAATATTTAACTAGCAATATTTATCAATTTAAGAAACAAGGAAACCACTAAATTAACAATACAAAACCAGAAATTGGAAGTTAAACAGAATTATACATACATATATGTCTTACGAATTAGTCAAGGCTATTTGTGGTCACAGGAATAGCTGCCATTTCATTTATAATTGCACATTATATTACATTTAATAATTATTGAAATATCTACTAATATTTATAAATACAGAACAATATTTAAAAAACCGGTCATATCAATCTACTGATATTGCACAAGAAAGAACTCAGGAAATAGTATTAAAATTAATATTTAAATTATAGAAATCATTATATTAGTTTGAAGTAAACAAGGGTTTTCTTTTGTCTTGGAAAGTATCCAAATTGTAGTCATTGTAACACTACATTACATAAGAATGTGATAACATTATGTCAGACTGTTGTTTGAAAGGTCAATTCATGTGCAAACAAAATGACTAAGTTTTGCACACAATATTACATAAAGTCTTATTAGAATCCTATTGTACATAGTATATTCACACATTGTTTTCCTTCTAAATTCATGGTATTTTGATATGTAAGTTAAAACTTTTTCTAAATTTATAAAATTTTACATGGACTTGAACTAGAACTGGAAATCAGTTAAGGAAATGAAAGATATGACTTAGATCGGTAGAATAACGCTTACCGTTTATGGACCAGATATGTGAAGGCAAGGAGTGTGTGGCGTAAACTCTGCCGAGTGACAGCGAGGTGCCCGGACCGGGACTGGCTTCCTCGTTGGAACTGGAGTCTGTGTCGGGGCTGGCGGCCGCGGAAGCCTCGTAACTTTGCGAGTTAGCGGGAATGGCGATGGCTTCGTGGGAGTCGTGCAAGTCCGGCACTGAGGAGAGTGATCTAGCCCGCTGACGGTCGCTAGACACCTGGATACCGGGAATCGCGCGGAGCAAGCTAAAGCCGGCGCCTCCCGATACCACGTCCGAACTGGAGCTCGTAGAGAATGTCCTCGCGCGCGGACTCTGCCCCCCGTTAGCCGTACTCGCTTTAGCACCCATGACTACCGAATTTATTACGCAAATCGCACTTGTCACTCACTAAATTTAATATATGATCACGAGCACACGCGTAACGCGACACCCGCGCCGGCTGGACACATTGTACGAAAAACAAAAACCAACAGCGGTTTAGGAAAATACAACGCTCTAAAATCGACAAACAGAAGGTCGTCGCGAGTACCTACTTGTAAACAGCGTTGCATGTGCCTTCCTGCAAAATTTTGACAGTTCTCGCAGTTCCTAATGAAATCGATTTTGTTTCAATCGATTGCTTTTCACTAAAAGGCAAAACGAATAATTTCGACTTTTCCAAAGAAAATAGTTGAAAACATAATAAAATCCTATTTATTGATGGAAGTAGAATCGTACTTATTTATTTGTTTAAACTACATGTTCCTGTACTTTGATAATAAATAATGGTTGATGTAGTTAATTCAAAGATAATCGCTTTTGTGACTTGAAACAATTTGTAAACAACAGAAATGATTCTGTGGCTACCTACATCTGATATTAAGCAATACTATTTATGAATTAGTATTTACGCAATGATTTTAAATATGTAATGCAAAAAGATATTTTCTTGTTCTTGTGATAAAACGTTCGTTAATACGTCTGATTATAGATATTTTTTCTGTTATTACGATTTGTTTACTGATATCCTATAAATATCAAACTTTCATGTAACAATTTCTTTTTAAGATTGTTTTGGAATAGAAAAAAAAACTTTGGATGAAATGAAACTGCAAAAAAATCAACGTGAGCTGTCAGATTGTTGTCTATTATCCTATTTTTATTGTCTATTACCGATTGCTGTGCTGTCAAACTGTCAATGGCTAATATTTACAATCACATATGATAATATGAATCATATTCGTATTTAAATATTGAATTATAAATATCAAACGCATTAAAAAGAAATAACGAAGTCTTAAATTATGAATTCTGCTACCGTAAGTAATATATAGCAACCCCTTTCAGGGTTCTTTTTTTTTTAGAGTTTTTATAATGTAACAATTACCCAATAATTATATATTAATTGCTGTGTTTTTTTGCACCAGTAGGTTTATACCTATTGACTTTAAATGCATTAACTTATTTTGTCATGCAATCATGAAAGATCATTACCATTTTTAATAAGACTAGGATAAACATTGGCTTTGCACGGCTTCCGCTGATGTAGATGTGTTACCGCGCTATTACAGCCAGGTGTGCCCCAGGTGCCGCTGCTGGACGACGACACCATCGCCTTTGGGGAAGAAGACAATGCTAACAAGCAATTTGTGTAAGTCTTAATACATCATGTATCATTATGTATATTTCATCAATCTATGACACATTTTAACAGTTTACATACAAGATTAAACATATTATGATATAAAAATTTGTAAAGTTTTGAATGAATAGTTAATACTTTATTAAGATCTTATCTTATAATAATGTCTGTTTTTAGCTTACAAATGAACTTTCTTATTTATTGATGTTTTAATATTAATGTTCCAGTCATCCCTACATAGTATTCTTCCACCTGATATTCAGAAGCTCAGCAATAGTTGTGTATATCCTGTGCGGCTGGTTCTCTGATTCATTCATAGCAAGCTTTGTACTGGTGATACTACTCTTGTCAGCAGACTTTTGGACTGTCAAAAATATTAGTGGTAAGATTTGATATTTAACATCTTACTAATTTTATAAATATGTATGTTTGAATAACAATGGATGTTAGGATGTTTGTTTGTAAGAAGGTGTCTGCCGAATTGTTGAACGAAATTTGGCATAGAAGTCTTTTTAAATTCTGCACCATCGGAGACATGGTCTAAAGCTAGTTTTTCAATATCAGTAAACTTTCACTGTACTTTTATATTAAAATTAAATTTATTATCTCTCAATTGTAATTGAATTTTGTTGTTAAAATGATAAGTCTTTTATCAAGGAATAACAGTTTGATAAGGAATTTAGACAATTTTTTTTTATTTCTACTTTTAATTAATATATGATCCATTTCACTAGTTAAATTTTAACATACTTTTCAATGTGAATATAATTTTTTGCAGGTCGTCTTTTAGTTGGGCTGAGATGGTGGAACTATGTGGACGATGATGGCAAATCACATTGGGTGTTTGAATCACGGCAGGTAGTAACATTTTCATTGTAAATTTTTCATGCAGTTTTTAATGTAAGGAAGATGTACAAGGATGTCTTACACATACACATAATAGGCAACAACTGATTGTTATCTTCCTAGATACTGTATGTAACATAATGTACTTTAATTCTGTTTCACATTGATTTTATTTATATATAATAGATTTACACTATATTTTGGCTATCTACAATTTATTTTTGGTTGCTTACATTTAGGTTCAATTTCACCCAAAAGCATATTCTAAAATATTAATTATGCACTATTTAAGACAGGCTTTCTTTAATACATTTCTAGAACCGCGTGAATCGCAATGAGAGCCGCTTGTTTTGGCTGGGCCTCATTCTCTGCCCCTTGATCTGGTCCGGCTTCTTCCTCATCTGTCTCTTCGGACTTAAGTTTAAATGGATGGTATGTATGTTTTGTACTAATGTGCACTTGCAAATAGTCATAGGTACAATCTCATTGATACATTCTATAACAGCAACATCTTATGCCATGAAATAGATAACTTTACTTGTAAAATATCATAACCTTACAACTTTACTATTTAACTATATTATTGATGTTCATTTTAATTGTAAATGTTGTAAAGAAACATGTCAATATTCCAGTTGCTGGTGCTAATAGCGCTCACTCTGACCGGTTCCAACCTGTACGGGTATGTGAAGTGCAACTTCGGTGCCAAGGAGAACCTGCAGACGGCCACCAAGGACTTTCTGAAGCAGCAGCTGCTGCAGAACGCCTCCTCCTTCATGTTCTCCCAGCCCGCGCCCCCCACCACCGCCAACACCGGTGTCGTCTAGTCTAACTCAACAACTGTTCTTAATTGATTATGTATAATGTATAATATAGTCCAAATAAAGTTGTCTAATAATAGTTGTTGTATGTTTTAGGCAATTTAATGAAGCAGTGCAACGCACCACTGCTCTGTCAGTATGTTATATTGTTTTTGACTGAAAACATAAATTTAGATATTACAGCACAAATTTTGTAAGGGCAGAGGCGAGAGATCAGAAAATGGCATTTAAAACACAATGTTACAACATTCATATTGTTTATTTCTTAATTTAAAACAATGTGATTTTATTAACCTGTATAACTAGATTATTGTAAAATATAAAAGTTACTTTACATAAATGGTTAATTGTTGAGTAACATTTTGATTAAAAAATGATCTTGTGCCTGACACGATTCTAGGTTTTGTTACGGAACTCTTGCCGCTAGTGATTAAACTTCGAAAACTTAAAAATTTAGATGTTTCCCTTGATATTTCTTAAAACATTCCTTGATTATATTTATGAAGAATTTATTTTGAAAACTGCAATGCATCATATTAATTTACAAAATGATATTTAGTTATAATTATAGTCTGTACTGTTTTATTTTAAGTAACGAAATATTTTTTGCGTTTGATACAATTAATTGTCTTTTATTTAATTTTCCATTTGATTAGGAACATACAGATTGATGCTGCTTACCCCTTTTAGTAGAAGATAACAAATGAATAGGAAACAATGGTGATTAAAGTTAACAGGACTCTGGTAGATAAATCACAGAATACTTTAAACAGCTTTTAATTCTCGTTTCATTTCTTATTGATGTGAGCAAATGATTATATAAATTTTTAATTTTCTTGATCTGAGTAAATAAATTGCTTAAAGTATTTATACTTTTTAATAATTTTGCATCTTTTTCTGTATAAAAATTTTAATTTTCACGACAAAAATTATGCTCCAGGTGAGGCTCGAACTCACAACCCCGGCATTACTCACACGTACACTGTCTTATAAGTACCGTGCGCTAACCAATTGCGCCACTGGAGCTGTGTGGGTCATGTCAAAATATCGTTATACGTTCCTCTGTCTAATTCAGGTCAAATGACGTTCTTTTTTGTGATCATCAAACGTCAAAGTCGGTCGTACGAATACAGATATGATCGTTGTTTAATAATTTTATAATAAGCCAAAGTGAAATATTAAGGCAAACTACTTTATAGAACCATAATAATTTAAACAGTTGTTATCCCTCATCTGTTTATTGTGTCACTGTTTGGCAAGTGCAGAAACTTGATAAATTGCATAGAACATAAACACAAAATGAATGTAAAATGTAAACGTCATTTAATTGTGCTAAAGTGTATGTTGTTGTGATTACGTTTCCAACAACATTCAGTGATTCTAAAATGTTATGATTACGTGATATGAATATATTTGTGTATATTGTTTTATCTAATGTGTAATCAAGATGAATTGGTTCGATACTTCAGGATTGACAAGTTTAGCTAAAACTGCACTCAAAGAGGCCCAGAAAACCATCGATAAAGCATTAGACATCACTGATGAAAGTAGCGAGGAGCCCGATGATGAACCCGTTCCCATTAAGCCGACGAAATCGTTGAGTAGCGGCAATACCCCTCAAAAAGACAGCTCCGATTTCTTTTCTTCATGGGGTCTAACTGTTAGTGCCGAAAGCTCAAAAGATCCGATAAAGGAACAGCCGGTGGTCACCGAGAGCCCTTCTAAGTCGAACTCTCAAAGCTTGTGGGGGTCTTTTGCAGGTTCGTTTTTTGAGCAACAACAACAACAAAAGGCATCCGAAAATGAATCTGCTATTGTCCGACCACCTAAGGCTAAATCAATGACTGTGATTGCTGACAGTAAATACGACAGCCAAGATGATCTGTTTTCCAGAAGTCAGCTAGTTATGTCCGATGGTGCAGATTGCTTGGATACAAAGAAAGATGATTTAATTTCTAAATTTGATAACAGGCGGAACTCCTCTTTATCTCACAGACTCTCCCTTGTCTCTAGTAGAAATAGCTCGGACTCTGTTGAGGTATTATCACACAGCCTAAAAACAACTCCCGACTCTGAAGTTTCTGTGCACACAATTTCAAATAGTAGCAGCGCAGGCCAAAAACAAACATCCGAGTCAGTAGAAATATTGCCAGATAGTCTCATTAGCCCTAGTTCTATAGAATGCCTTGGTTTTGATAGCTATGCAAGTGATAAAAATAGTAGCACATCTTCCAATCTATCACCGGGTGACCTATCAGATAAAAAGTCAACACCAATCGGTGAAGCTACAGAGAAAGCAGAGACGGCTGACAGTGTGAGCTTGGTTGCTGATGATGATGAAGATACTATGTCATACAACTCCATCTCAGAATGTACAGCCCCTACTGTCCTGGACACAGATGAAAAACCTATCAGCCCTTTTCCTAAACCAAAAAATGATACACATAAAAAAGTTACAGACAAGGACCCAACCCATCTGGAGCACCCAATATTATCTCAAAAGATGCAAATTAGTGAGAACTCATCCAATGATGGATCCTGGTCTGACAGGACATTAAACGCTGACAATGATAGTGTTATTCTAGAAGCCACAGAAGACAATAACAAAGAAGTAGACCATGAGGATTCACTGATGGAAAAATTGAGTGATTCCTCATCATTTTACAATGTCAATGTTACCACAGATTTACTAAGATCAGAAAGCTCAACATTCGTTAATATTGAGAAGCAACAATCCAGTGCTCCGGGCAGCAGCGAATCTTCACAAAAAGAGAGCATCAAAGAACGAACATCCCCCATCAGTTCCGACAGCAAAAGTGATTTAGTAAAAATTGGATCTGACCGTACATCAGGTCATACATCTGGAGACGAAGTGGAGACAGCCACGTCATCCGACATTGAAATTATACCAAGCCCAAATGGTGATAATGGACACAGTTTTTGCAGAAGTAGCCCAGGAAAATATAACTTTAAGCAAGGCAAGTTTGATGGCACAACATCTCCCAATCTGGTGGATTTAGTATTGGGAAAATCTCTGGCCACAAAAATACGTGGACACACCAGAGAACTTTCGGAGACATCTGTTCAAAGCAACACAAGCGATGAAAGCCAAGGCTCGGAAAATGATCGTCTGATGCGGAGACTATGTGAAATGGCAGAGATTTTAGATGCGAGGGAAAGCAGGCTAATGGAAGTAAGTAGAAGTAATGCTGAACTGATCGAAAGCAACACGAATCTGAAGAGTCAGATGGAGTCACTGCTGGCAAAGCATGATGCAGGCGACATCAATTTGATCACAGAAGATTATACACAAAGGATGTCGGCACTAGAAAAAAAATTTCAGCAGGCCATTAGAGAAAAGGTAAAACAAATCCACTATGATTATTATGAAAATTCAAAACCTTAATACTCTGTCAATTATATAATTATGTTTATTTACCTTGTCATCACACTCCTAGTTAATTTTCTCTGCAAATCTAATGATGATTTTTCTTTAGATTAGGAATGAATAAAAAATTGAACAAAAATTTTCATAATGTCTTGCTGTAAATCAGTTACTATATACTTTTGTAAATGTTTTTGATAAGATTATGATGTTTAAAAATATTGTTAATAGATTAAAGTAATTGTAATTAATGCACATTTGTTGTAAACACACCAGGGTTTTTAGTCATTTTCTATAATGATGCCTTTTGTATCACATTAGCTACAATTTTTCTTTGCTGTTATCATGTGCACACAAGACATGGTAATATTATACTTTTATTGTAAAATATCTTTTTATTTGTAAACAAACTCCTGGCAAATCAATTATATTTGATCATCACCACACATCTCAGGTAGAAAATAATTATATGCTCATATGTTTTAAGTATTATTCACATTTTTTATTTTTTGTACTTGATACAAAGGCATCAACGTGTACGGCATTTGGACTTTGTAGGACCAGCTACGTAAGGAGTTAGACAAGCTGAAGACGGAGGCGACGCGCAAGGGTTCCTCTGAGCTGGAGGAGGGCATCAAGGAGCGGGACGAGGTGATCGCGCAGCTGCAGGAGGAGGGCGAGCAGCTATCGCGCCAGCAGCTGCATCACTCCAACATCATCAAGAAGCTGCGCGCCAAGGACAAGGACAATGAACAGGTCATCAAAGGCTTGAGGTCAGTGACACCTGCATTATCTTAGAATATCTCAATCATTCAGTTTCCAGTTGTTAGGTACGTCTAAAATTTTGCACCATACCAAACTCTGCTTCTTTTCTTGCTTTCTATTCTTTCCAGACTTAGTTTTACGAGATGGTGAAAAAGGATTTTTTAGTATTGTTATATTTATGTTTGTTGTTAGAAGCTATAATTGTAAAATTCGAAAGGAACAAGGGATAGGATAAGGGTTGGAGCGGAGTTACATGACTGTCTGGCTGAGGCGAGCGATGTGAATGTTTAGGGACAAGATTGCGGAGCTTTCGTCGGAGCTGGACCGCGCGAAGCGTGCGGCGGCCGCCAAGGAGGAGCTGGAAGTGAGCCAGATCGAGGCAGTGTACCGGCTCACCACCGCCAATAAGAAAATGGAAACCGAACTCGTTGAGGTCAGTACAATGACTTCACCAATAAAATCCTGGAAGTTGAACTTTCGTCAGCTATGTCGCATTTCATTTTCTTTATGCTTGTTGCAATTTGATACGCAAATCAACTCCACGATCGATAGTTATTATTTTAATAAACCATACACGTGTCTAATGAATAACAAACACTATTCTGTAAGTATAAACTTGATGCACACAATGTTATGAAATATTTTTTACGAATACGAAAAAATCGAGATATATAATAAAAGATGCACAAAATAGATCGCGCCCCCGGGTGGGCTCGAACCACCAACCTTTCGGTTAACAGCCGAACGCGCTAGCCAATTGCGCCACGGAGGCCGTGGGAGACGACACGAAATATAAATATACGATGCCCTTGCTATATCTTTATCTAGAAATGCATAGTTAAAATTTCCGACAGATTGTGTACGTTTAAAAACTTAAATTTAATTCATAAAATTAACTCATATCATAGTAATCAATGTTTTTCGCGTTATTTCTTTTGATGACAGACTTCTCGTTGCTTCTAGCGAGTTTATAAAATAGTTGGATTATGATATGAGAAGGGATTTACCACACACGGTCTGGTATACCAAGTTAGGGAGGATAGCGTGGGTAATTCCCTGCTAATATCAAAATACGTAATATATGTTTAGGCACGGCGACTGAGTCGGCCTGTGCATTATGCGGCCGTGTTCCAAACATTAGCAATGCTTTTGTTATCTTCTTGTGTTATCAACTCCTGTCATTGTTATGTGCCATTGACTCTTTGTTTGGAAAATACACAAAGCTTTAAATGTCTTTTGACTTAATGTATAAAATATTGTGACGACCTCGAATGTTGATTGATAACTAAACGATTGACATGAAATTGTTCGCGACCTTCACTTGTTTCATTGAAAAAACATTGATGTACAGATGTTTTATTATGGTACACGCATCGCTTTAATGATAGTTAACTGACCCAAAATAATGTTTTGCTTCTTATAAGCTTTGGCGCAATATATTTTTAAATTTTTGATAAAATCTTTACGCTTTATAGATTATATGTATTAATTCATTTAAAAATAAAATTGTGTATCTTGTGCTAAGTATACACGGGAAGATGTTTCGGTTATTGATAGTTATTGGGTTGCGTAGTTCGCTTAAAAATTATCTGTTTTTTCCAGATTTTTATTTGTAAAGTAGGTACTACGTTTCCCTATTTTATCTTTTTAAAGCATAATACTAATTAAAAAAATTGCGCCCCCGGGTGGGCTCGAACCACCAACCTTTCGGTTAACAGCCGAACGCGCTAGCCAATTGCGCCACGGAGGCCGTGGGAAGCGCTACGATATACCACGTCTTATGGGTTTGGTTTAAAACAACAATTTTTGTTACGTAAAATCCGCATTAAATTACTTATTTAAAATAAGATTGGGTTCATCACGTTTTAAGGTATTGAATATAAAATCACAAAATGTTTATAATAATTGTTAGAATTCTATTCTCCTTGACATTTTTATGCAACGACCACTCTCGCTTTAAGTTGCCAAATAATATTGTTAATTATACGTAAATGAATAAATGAATGATGGTCAGCAAAGTGCGAGGTCATCCGCTCTGCATTATATGTACATCTCTATACACTGATAGCACATCGTGCCTCACACATTTATATACTTTTATGTTTTTAGTTACATTACGTTTAACCATAGCATGGACCTAATAATTTTCTTTGAGTTTATCTTAATATGATTTTTAATCTTGTAAGAATGTTCAATTTTAACGTATTAAACAATGTACATGTTGTAACTGAATTGCGCTATCGGATAACGCAACTGTTTTTATAGTTTTTAATTTTTATTCCAGAAGTAAATAAATAGTTAGTTCCTATTACAGATGTTGAGGGGCGATTTTATGATTAAAATAACTATTTATATACTAAATAATAAATCGGTATGCGATGGTTGCGTCGCAGACTCGGAGCGCGCTGGAGGACACGCTGGAGCGGCTGGAGAGCGCGCGCACCTCGCTGGAGGGCGCGCGCCGCGAGCTGGCGGAGCTGCGACACGCGGCCGCGGAGGCCGAGCGCGCCCGCACCGCCGCGCACGACGCGCACGAGCACTGCCAGCGCGCGCAGCACGAGGCCGACACGCTGCGCGCCCAGCTGCACCAGCTGCGCCTCGACCGCACCAAGGGTACGCGCGCTGTCTGTCTGTCCGTGCGTGTCGCTGCAGCACCGCGTCGCGTCCGCGCTCTAGCTGCGGTTCTCTGTTGTAGAGGAGCAGCGCTGGAGGGCGCGCGAGGAGGCGCTGCGGCAGGAGGCGGCGGAGGCGCGCGAGGTGGCGGCGGGGGGCGCGGCGGGCGGGGCGGCGGCGGGCGAGGGCGCGGGGCAGGGGCAGGGGGCCGGGGCGCTGCTGGCCCAGCTGGCCGCGCTGCAGCGCTCCGCACTGGAGCGGGAGCGGGCGCACAGCGCGGCCGCCGCCGCCAGGCAGAGGCTCCTCGGTACCGCATCATCAGTTCTCTTCTCCGCATGATTCAGTTGCAGACGGAGCCGTTGTAATGTGTGATGTGCGACAGAGGAGGCGCAGACTGGGGCGGCGAAGGCGGGCGAGCGCGAGCGGCTGGCGCGCGAGGAGGCGGCCGGGCTGCGCGCGCGGCTGCCGGCCGCCGAGGAGCAGCTGGAGGCGGCGCGCGCGCAGCACCGGGAGCTGTCCGAGCACTGCCAGCGCGCGCTGCACGCCCAGCGGCGCGCCGAGCTGGACCTCGCGGAGTGCGTATACTAGGATTAAAAATTGAGTCGACAAAATGATTTCACTATAGGCTCGCTTCGTTCCCGAAGATTAAATCACCATCTTTACTGGTGGTGATGTTGAATTTGCAGCAAGGCGGAGGAGCTGGGGCGCGTGCGTGCGGAGTGCGAGGCTAGCGAGGCGGCGCTGCGGGAGCGGCTGCAGCAGCTGGAGACGCAGCTGCAGACCGCGCGCCTCCAGCTCGACACCGAGCGCAAGCGCTCCGAGATCCTGCAGGTGGTGTCCGCCTGCTCATCCAGATTTACTCGAGGAGACATCCATTACTTCGATGAGCTAACATTATATTACAATTGCATATGAACGTGTGCAGGAGCAGGCGGCGCGCGGGGACGTGTCGCCGCCGCACTCGCTGGCCTCCGACACGCTCTCCGCCTCGCTCTGGCCGACGGTCAGTCTCTCTCTCTCTCTCTTATCTTTATCTCGATGACATTTGTAACGATAATGAGTTATGTTTGCAGGAGGAGTGCGGGCGGTCGTCGCCCGTGTCAGTGGGAGGTGCGGGTGGTGCGGGAGGTGCGGTGTCGGCGCTGTGCGTGGAGGACGCGCTGGCGGCGGTGTCGCGGCGCGAGGGGTCGGCGCGGGCGATGGCGGGCACGCTGGCTGCGCTGCGCACGGAGCGCACGGCGCTGCGCAACCAGCTCGCCGAGCTGCACGCTCAGCTGCAGGACCATCAGGTGACCACCTCGCACCACGCGCCGGTGCGGGAGACGCGCGAGTGCGACGCTACATGTCTGATGTGTTGCAGAGCCTGCAGGAGCAGTACGACGCGCTGCTGCAGATGTACGGGGAGAAGGAGGAGCAGCTGGCGGAGCTGCGCCTGGACCTGCAGGACGTCACGCACCTCTACAAGGCGCAGCTGGACGAGCTGGTGACGCTGCGCGGCCAGCAGCAGCAGCAGCAGCGGTAGCCCGACCCCCCACCACATTGCTACACAGTGGCACTGCTCATCTGTTTGTCTAAAATGCTGAGCTTTCCCTGCAATAGAATATCAACAGTAGATATTAAACCTTTGTCAGTTTGAGAGAGTTTTGTTCGCACAGTTGTTGACTAATATGAGTAAATACTTGTCGTTATATCACTTTGACTTTTTCACTTAAATAAATAATGTATTAAAAAGAGGGATAACAATATCATCTCGCGCTTCAAATTCTCGTAACAGCAACATTGCAGAGTGATGCTGGTGCGTACCAGATTGAATTGAAACATATAAACCTGTAGCTATCACTTGCCACTTTATGTTTGAAGATACATATATAATATCTTCGCGTGATTTACATTTGTGTGATGGCATTACAAAAGTGTTATGTATCACAACTTGTGAATAGCTTTTATTGTGATTTGCAAAAAACTAATGTGTAGATTGAACATAACATCAACTACATAAAGATTATAAATAATTTATGTGAATTTAAAAATATTTCAGTTAAATTTGATTGTTAAATGGTTATTTGGTCAATTGTATGTTGAGGTGTCTGAAGTGAGGTGCGGCTGAGAGCGCGGTGTGAGCGAGACGGATGTATACGTGACATGTACAGGTGCGACAGAGACGGAAACTGGAGATCGGTTACAACTAACTTCAGACTCGTGCAAAATACATTTTCTTATGTTTGTTGTTTGTTAAAAGTTTTAAATACAAAATATTATAATGTTTGTCCCTTTTATTGATTCAATTGAATAATATTATTTGTATTTACTCCTGGTGAAGCTCAGAATATGCGCGTTTACTGCTTAGTTAATAATAATAATAATAATATTGTTTATGCAATAAAATAGTATTAAAATATTGTTGGGTAGACAGAAGCTGTGAAAGTGAAACGAAGACGTTTAGTTTATTTAATTTGTATTAATTTGTTTAAATGAAGAAATTAAAAAATATGACTGTATCTATTTAGTTAAATGTTACAAATAATTATGAATCTGTACATTTATGAATATAATTTTAAAATTTATCTAAATCTTGAAATATTGTCAGCTAGTCTCCAAATGTTATACACAAATTATATGTATATTGAAACATCATCGGTTCTATTTATTTACCGCATGTTTCTGAGAGCAACATCTCTGTATCATATCGTTATCTCTGTTATTATATTTGACGAAACAGAGATAGCAATATGTTGTGGAGGGGGGTTTTTGTCAGTCAGAAAGTGACGGTGAGTGAGGTGCGAGATGAAGGTAATTCGTCGCCACTTTACGGTGATACGAATTATATATATTATGTATGTATAAATAATATTTAATGTAAATGGCGAAGCGCCTCCACTTATTTATGTAAATAAAGTAAACTATGCCATAATACTGTGTTTTATTTATTCCGATAGAATAACATCCCGAGAAGTTTTAACTTTAACTTTTATTATTTCTTTGAAGTTTTGAAATAAAATGTTGTTGTTTCGATTCCAATTTGTTTGAAAGTTGTTTGAAGACAGGAAAGTTTTGACAAACTTCTGATAACAGACGTTTACAATTTTTTCTCAAATTAACAATTTCTTTAATTAATATTCAACAATGTTTCAATCTTTGTTATTTCAGATGTTTTAGAAAAAGACGGCTCTCATCTCTTTACATAATTTTACGTTTATTCTTGAGAAAATAATTCCTCATGTAAAAATACCTGACGTAGAGCAGATAAAAACATATATTAATAAATATAAATGAAAACGTTGACAAAATATAATAACAAAATGTAACGATATAGTATTAGTGCCGGCAGTGACAACGACGCGCCGACACAAGCCTTGTTTGTGTTGAAACAAATTTGCATTTAAATAGCGCCGCGCTAACTTACATTTTGCACGTTTTCCAAACACAAAAATATAAATTTAAAAACGAACGAGGTTATCAATTCGTCTGTATTTTAATGTGTTATTTACCTTTATATCTATTCTTATATACTATAGTTATTGTTTTCATATATAACATGTTTTTGTTATTTTTTTAAGTTGTGCGTCAAGAAAGATTGTAATATGAGGCTTTATAATTGGCCAGATATTAACCCGTGCGTGTGATGTGCCGCCACAGGTAAGGTAATGACGTTCAGTATCTCGTAGCGATGTCATATAAAGTTATCGTGAAGCGCAGATTGCGCTCTTTGTCGTCCTCCCGTTCGTGAGATGAGGTGCGGCCGCGCGCGCACTTCATTATCTCATAACCACAGCCCCGTGTATGTGAACAGCTTTATTGTCAACGTCAACTCGACAACAGCTCAACTCAACGAATAAAAGCACGGATTATCAATCTGGCGGTCGCGGGTTTGAATCCCGCTATTCGATTATTGTCGTGGTCGTGGTGTATGTTATTGTAAAAATAACTTAGATCAAAAATGATACAAGTGGCGTATCTTTGTGGCCGAGCAGAGGGTCGCGGGCGGCGGGCAGCGGGCGGGAACACGCGTGTTGGCAGAGATAGCGCGCCAAAACAAAGCGCGATCATAAATATTTATTCCGCTCCCGACCCTCAACAATCAACATAACTTTCCTTTAATGTTCATACTTTTTATACGTATTTTCATCCTTAAATATGCAAACATGAAAGGCACCTCTTAAAATAAATTCTCCGAAAACACAGAATGCCGGAGTATCACAGCTTCTTAAATTTAATGACAATTTATAGGTAGGTAGCTTTGCTCTGTTCTGCAGTCGTAAACTTACAGGTGTGGTCATCATTCAGTGCGCGACTGCTTCCGGTGTGGCGTGTCTATTTATTGCAATAATGAAAATGACCGGTTACTAATTTACAGGTTATTTTTGTTGAAAATACTTTTTTTTTAACTCCGATAAAATGAGAAACCGCTAGCTAAGTTTTCTCTTCATAATATTTAGTCGTAGATATCGTTAAAATGCAATTCTTATTATAACATTTTAATCTAGCAAAGCATAACATATGTGATAGCGCCAGTTCAATTTAGGATGTGGGTCAGTCATATGTCCCCGGCTTATCTCGCCCGCGGGAAATGATTAGATGCGACCAGCGAACTATATTTAATTTTAGAGTTTTCGTTATTTATCCATTGGATTAGAAAAACATTTTCCATTTTTATATAATGTCTAAAAACGAGCATAATTTAATTTAATTAATTAATTTTAGAGTCTGTAATTTTAGATGTTGCACATTTAATAACCAAACAAAAATAACAAAACTTCGTAGTTAACTACAATGTTGTTTTCCCTCTAGCGTTCTATTGAGGTGTACTTCGTAGCGTGGGAGAGGTAAGGAGAGGAAGGGAGAGAGAGGGCTGAATGTGGTCCCTCATTACCGCTGGCGAAAGGTACTTGACCCCGTTGTTGCCGCTAGCGCGAGCCCGCACCCGCATCCTCTACACTCAGTTACTCGCTTATTATCATATCTATTAGATTTGTTACGATTTATGCAATTAAAACCACTTTAAACGATAATTTTGTTATATAAAGATACAGATCAAACTGTGTATTAAACACTATTCACGTTTAATTTTTGATTGTACATAGTTATTAAAGTGGTTTATATCAAGAGCAATATGACAGTGAGGATTATATAATTAGAATCCGGAAATCAGGATAACTTTGTATTATTAAAATAAATTGTGCGCGTGTAAGAAATCGGACTTACGATAATAAATCAAGTCGCAGGTGCGTTGACGTCCATTGAAATGTAACGGTAATTGTGTGTCTAAATCTGTGTATAATATCTATTATATGACCTAGCTATTGTTAAACGTTTTATGCGTACGTTGATATAAGAATTTAATATAAAAGTTATTTTAAATCAGGCTGAATGTAATGAAGGTAAATTCGTATAAAAGACACGTAAGAGAATGCTTATTAAAACTTTTGAAATACTCGCAGTAACGGATTAATAAACAGACAAAGTTTTCTGCGAATGAAACTAATTATTGGGCGCTTCATATGGGAGACAAATATTATTTATTTTGAAATGAAAATGTATATTCGTAATGCTAAAAATGTTAAGCGGGATTAGGATTAAAATTTACAGAAAGTTAACAATTTACAAATTTTAGACGATCCGCTCTTGCGTTATAAATAGTGTAACTAACATGACTTTCTTTTATATATATAATATATAAATAAATAAACTTTTACGAATATTTTTAAGGAAAACATTTGTTAAAAGCAATTGTTAAAAAGAAATCAAGTTTGAAACAACATTATTTAAAACGCTTTTATTATTATTATATTATGAATATTTAATTTAATAAGTGAGCGATCGCGTATAGACTGTTTGTTCATCGATCTGACTTGGAGTTTACATAACAAGCCGGAGCCTATCTTTACAGCCCCGAGGCAGCGCGTACGACTCCGAGGCAAGGTCTTTTATAAATTAAATATTGGTTCTGAATCATATTTCAATGAAGATTAATTGATATACACTTACTTTACTATGGTTTTTTTTACTTTTAAGTAGAATAGGAAAATTGTTTAATTTATGACTTATTATTCAAAGCATTTTACGTACGAGTAGAGCAAATACAACTCAATAGTTTTGTCCTCGTATATTTTAATGTGTTTTTGCGAACTTTTTAAATCAGTTATTGAGAAAACTTTTAACGAATCTAGTTTTTCGCATTCAAATCTAAGTCGACTGCAAACTGACCTTGTTACTCTAATGAGGTGGCCACGAGTGCTAAGTAATGTTTTTGTTAAAACTCTATTTTTTATATTTTGTTAATAAAACAATTATGTATTTAACATAAAACAGTAAAAGATTAGGAAACGTGTAATTCACTTGTTTACTGATTATTTTCATTTAAAAAATAAATTAAAAAGATAAGTAGTGAGTGTCGGAAGTGTAAGGAGATGCTGCGAGTGGACAAATTAAAGGCCTCTCTCCGCCTCCGCCACTGCCATCTATCGTCTGGAATACAAAACAAACGCAGTTAGATAATTGCTCACAATTCTTTTGAAACACTCGACACGAGTTTCGAATTCACCGAGAGGATAATTACTTACTTTGTAATTTGAAACTGTAATGTCTCTCTTCTTCAGATTTTTTGTTTTTCCAGTATAATTTTATCTGATGGTTTTGTGAACAGCTGTGCCATTAAGGATGGCTGAACTTGGGAAGTGCACATTTTCTCTACCCAATTACTTCTTATACTACAAGAAATTACAGTAAGTTTATTTTTAACTTTAATTATTTTCTAACTTAAGTTACATATCTTGTTTTAATACTTGTTTGCACTGTTAGTTCAGACATAACGAGGAGTTGCAATATGCAGTTCTTTAAACGTTCTTTTATAATCTTGTCCAGCAGGGGGCGCCGAGGTTCACTTATTTGTCGCGTCTCCACAGCTGGTGTTTTCTTATTTGAATCGACATCTTGTTGTTGGTAATTTTTCCGATAAAATTTCAGCAGATGCTGCGATTTAACAAAGTATTTTAAGTTTATAGCAAAGCTACTAAATATTGTAATGAATTTGTAAGAATTGTCAATTTCGTTTTATAGGATTAATGTTTTCGTTGTTGACACATTTAGAGACGAAAAGGGTTTGTGCTAACTAACTCTGCTCTAAATTGAAACTCAGTGACCTGAAGTAAATCTCATCGGAAAAGTGACAATAAAGACGGATTCATTCAAAGCGAACGTTTAAAAGTATTCGATAAATTATTCTGTTTACTGTTTCCACTAAAAATATTTTACTAAACTCTGAATTGAACTAGAACTGGAAGAAAGGTTCACATTTATACTGCACACGATGTATCAGTCTCCGAGGGAAAGTAGGTATGATAAAATATAATCAATGAAAATGTAATAAATCAATTAAAAAGTTACTTTTTATTGCATCAGCATATCACTGTATTGTGTAGCGCTAGTAAAGAGAGCAGGTTTTGTTTTGTCTTTGTGTGTGAGAGCAACGTCGTTCACGAAGCATCGTTGAACAAAATGACACAATAATTTAAATGTAAATAAGGAGCGAGTGCATCTCCGTCACCTCACCCGCCCTCTCTCCTCCCGAACAACAAACAACTAATTTTTAAAAAAAATCATAAAGCGTATATAGTTAAATTGTTGACTTGTATCGTTTAGGACTCCCGAAATACTGTCGACTGTCGTTGTTTTAAAATGAAATATTTTACGAGCCAGCTGTGATATGAGTGTATTTATGTTACAAGCGGTCGCTTCGGTATTTTAGAAATTTTAATCAACAGATTTGTTGAAATTGTTAAACATAAAAACGTTGACATGACATAAACATTAAATACGGTTATGTTACTTAAAAAAACCTCTACCAGTAAAGAATTTCAGTGATAAAACATGCATCATTATTAGAATATTTTCACT